ATATAAACTTGAAGCTTGTAGTAAACCTGAAGCTTGTAGTAAAATTTAGCTCGTTGTAAACTCGTAAAACTCATAGTATACTTGTTCGTCGATTCGGGACAATTCGGGCTTTGCTCGGAAAATTTCGTAACCAATAATTTTTTGTAACCAAATTATTTTTTTATTTATATTTTATTTTATTTTGTTTCATTTAACCCCCGACAGCGAGAACGCCAATAACAAGGAGCATAGAGTAATACAATATAAAAATCACTATAAAATCAATAAAATTTGTAATAAAAACATTCAAAAATATTGAAAACAGTCCGAATAATAATAATAATAATAATAATAATAATAATAATAATAATAATAATAATAGTAATAATAATAGTAATAGTAATAGTAATAGTAATAATAGTAATAATAGCGTACTTTTATATAGCACCCGTATCCATCTAAGATGCTCAGGCAGGGACGGATTCAGAGAATTTCTGACAGGGTTGGGAGGGTGGGTGGCAACAAAATGAAGTTCACGCTGCCATCTGTTCCAGTACACAGTGGTATCCAACTACTCTTCTGGAATGGTGTACTACTGGGATCTTTTTAGTGCCATCGAACCATCGCCGAAATTATGGCTGGAGGTCGCTGCACCCCTGTTAACCGCTCGACCATTCGACTCACCACGGTTAAAACTCGCTTAACCATGGAGGAATTAGTTTAGAACTGGCAAGTAACTCTTTGTAAACTCGTGTATAAAAGGCGAGTCCTAGCGATAGGCCAAACAAAATTAGTTGCTAGTTGCACGTGGAAGCCAACAACCGGGGTAAATATAAATGAGAATACATTACATTCAGATTCATTTTACTTCTTTTATGTATATTTTTTATTATTTACCGGCCTGTTTACCACTAGTATAAAGGATAGTATAGCAAATAACAATACCCTCACCAAAATGTAATATACAAATGCTGGACGTGAAGCTAATAATTAATTTCACTTGGCCTAAGAACACGAGTTAACTTGCAGCAAATCTTGTGACGGGAACATGTTGATGTAGAAACTAATTGATTTTCTGTCGGTAGTTGAATTCGGGAAGGTCATTGAAAACTCGGAGAAGTAATTAGTTTCAGATTCAGATTACATTTATTAGTCATTCAAACGTAATAATAATAATAATAATAATAATAATAATAATAATAATAATAATAATAATGATAATAATAATAATAATAATGATAATAATAATGATAATAATAATGATAATTATAATGATAATAATAATGATAATTATAATGATAATAATAATGATAATGATAATGATAATGATTATAATGATACTTTTGACTGATGTACATGATTTGTTTCTACCGGAGGATTATTAGTAACAATCATCATAATAACATATAGTATTTACATTATATACAGCCTAATGAACAATAAGGATGAGATAAAGACGAAAATACCACACACAATATTTTCCTAATAAAAGTCTCCCTCCAATTGAATACCACTTATGAGACCGGGGTTACCGTTTCTATTCCTTTAGTAGCTTGGTCTTAAATGACAATAATGAAGATAAAATATATTTGTTAATTGAGGACCTAAAATATATATGTTAATTGAGGACCACAGATGATTGATCCTTAATTGTGGGTGGTCTTTAATTGGAGTGATTTGTAATTAGAAGGAGACTTGTACATTGCATTTACAAGACAGATAGCACTTCGAAGCAAAGCGTCTGTATACATATTTTGTTGTAGACCTATTATTCGTTTTCACTGTTCACAAGTGTATGGGCTTGTATCATGGTGGAATAAAAATAATACTCCATACCTCAAAAAAAAAAAAAAAAAAATACCTTCACAAATAACAAGTTAATAAGTTATTAATTTCCAACCAGAATGTAATCGAAAAAAAAAAAATGTTTTTGCTGAATATTATGTATTATACTACAACAATCTTGAATTGTTTACCAATTGAAGGGTCTATGCATAAGAATAAGGAAAGGTATTATTTAACTCTCCTT